GGCGCATCAGAAACTTTCCAAGGCCCTGGCCGGTCGCCTTTGCCCGTGTAGCCCATTATTGAGGTCTCCCCCATGCGAGAAAGGTCGTCAATTTGCTTTCCCAAGAACTTCTGAGTTTCCTCGGTCTTGGATTCGTAGAAAATCTTTGCGCGCCCGTAAGCCTGAACGGCGGCATAGTTCCAGGTCGGCACGACCTTTGCTGTTGTCGGTTTGGTTTCGGTGTAGAACTTCGGTGTGACGTAGTGGTGTGTCGGCGCGGTGAAGAGGACCATGACCTCCTGGTCAAGGAAATTCCCGGTACCCGTGCGGCCTTCGGCCGACAATGACTCGATTATGGCTTTGCTCTGCGGGTTCGCGCGTGCCAGGTGGCCTCGCAGGACGCCGAGCTCGGTTTCGCTAGCATCGTCTTCGACATCGAGGACCCAAGGAATGTGGCTGGACTGGATGAGAGGGTATGTGGGAGAAGAGATCGCTGTGGTGAGGATGCCGAGGGGAAAGTCGCGGATGAGCTTGCGCAGTGCAGGTATGCTCTGCTCAGCGTGAACGGCGCGAAGATACATGTTGTGCGTGAATGATAGGTAACTCTGACTCTAACAGATTGAAAGATTTTATCGAATGTTTTGAAAGTGTTGAAAAGAGGCAATGCTCTCAAAAAAAGGCTGACAAGCGATTCATGCCACTCATAGCGGATTGCCTCGGGCCGCCGATTTTAATAGCGCCCGGATGCTTGCTCTAATACAAGCGCCATGTTTTTCAAAGGGCGCGCGGTCCACTAATTTTGGTTCTGTCGGTTTAACTGACTTAGGTATCTTTCGCCTGGCTGTTAGCATGTTTGAGCGCCTCCAATTCATCATTTTACGTACGCGTACAACGGCATTGGTTGAGCCGTTGCAGATGACCAAAGATGACACCACTCGCAGCTGAGTGGCTGCTGCATTAGAGCGATTGAAGTCATTTCTAGTTACAGCAATTCAATCATCAATCCATTGGATGTCAACCTCTTGTTGGAGCAGGATGCAATGCACATATCTCCCGAAGGATGCAGATATCTCCGCGGAGGCTATCTTTGCTATCTTTGAGGTAGCTTTCTGGTTGGTCGGCCACGCATGCTTATCTACGTACTCTTCTCGTGAGCCTGCATTCAAAGCTCTTATTAGAAAGCGAACTCGAGCCTGCTTGCGACGCAATATTCCTTTCCGGCAACTTCAGGAACGGATGCGGGAGCGGATGCGGGAACTTTGCCGCTTCTCCGCTCATAAACCGGCCCGGTGGTGGATCCCGGTCCCACCAGCGGCCGAAGCGGCATAGTTTCCGCCAGTCGAATCGATGCGGCCGCACGATTAAAGAAGCCATGAACATCCTTGTTGTGAGATTCAAAGCGTGAGGAGTGTCCCAGGACAACAAGTAAAAGTTTTAGCAAGTCTGGCGTTTACTATCCAGGCAGATACTTTAACTACACGTGCCTCGACAGTTTGCGACTGTTTCTGTTGTTCCCATCCCTATCGCCCTCAATGTTTTGATCGTTATACAAATGTCCCTCATATCTTTTTCTTCGTTCGTTGATATATTCATGGGACCGAAGGCCCGCCAGGGTTGCAAAAGGCTATGCTTGAGCAAGCTCTGCCACATGTGTTCTGAGCTCACCCAGTATAAGCTCAATTCCCCCCAAAGTGGAAACACAAAAAGAACCGTCTAATGTCTGGTCATTCGACTTGAGCACACGTATCATTGCAACAGAACTCATTTAGTTACTTATATTCATTTGTGTCATTATCAATTACGGTCGACTTCCCATGTGTTTAGCGGAGTTTGCTCGTTACAAGTCCTTGTTATGCCGTTGCATCTGAGGTGATCAGTTCACCCTAGAGATCTTAAAACCTCCGGGAATTCTCTTCTGGAAAACGCCCTCGGGGTCATATTGGGATGCAACACTGCGAATGAAGTTGATGTTCGCGTCGCCATAGGTCTTGATAGGGTCCTGGCTAGGATCGGCATAGTTGAGGTAGCGCCAGTTCACGTTGCCATCAACAGAGACAGCAAAGTCCTCGATTCTTACCGCTGCTGCAGCCATGTGGGCCCGAGCAACGGCTTCCTGGGCCTCAGTGTTGATAGTCACGAGGCCGAGCCAGAGAATGGCGTTGTCAGTCTCACCGTCAAGACCAAGGACGTTTCCGCCACGCTCGCTGCCAATCTTGGCGAAGTAGGTTGGGAGGGGTTGGAAGACCATCTGGGTGGTAAACTCATTCGCGCCGACGGCAGCCTTCATGGTGTCGACGAAGACTTGGTGAGCATCGACGGCTTCCTTGAGGATGGATGCGTCGTTCTTGAAGGTCAAAGTGAACCAGACGCTCCTGTGAATACCGATGGTTAGCGCTCCATAATGGTTTATCGATAGATATGGATGAACCTACCGAGAGCCCGCAGGGATCTGAGAGTTCAAAGCGAGGTCAGCCATGCTGCGGCGGGTCATGTCGCTGCTGATCGCGGGAATCTGGTTGACCTTTGCAAAGCCGGTGGTGTTGCTGTTGCCCTGAGTGTTGACGCGAGATGCAGCGATCAGGATGTCGTCGCCCATCGCGGTGTTGTGGGTGTAGACGAAAACCGCAGCATCATCGGCGAACGCCTCGTCCTTGTTGGTGAAATCGACAATAGCATCGACTACAGCGTCAGAGTTGTCCTTGCTCATGAGGTGGATACCGGTGTAGAGGTCCTTCGCTGGGATCGCCTCCATGTCGAACCGGGTGACAATGCCGAAGTTGCTGCTGCCGCCTTTCAAAGCCTTGAACAAGTCCGAGTTGGTGCTGTTGTTAGCGTCGACGATACTTCCATCCGCAAGGACGACCTCGTAGTTGATGACCGAGTCGCACCCGAAACCCATACGACCGGTGAAGTATGAGTTACCACCTCCAAGGAGGAAGCCTCCGACGCCGACGCCGCCGTCACGGCCTCCAGTGACGGTTACGTTGTACTTCAGAAGGTTGGCGTAGACATCTTTCCAGTGGTCACCTGGGCCGATGGACGCTAGGTTCGTCTCAGCATCATAAGACGACTGGTTGAAGAAAGCCAGGTCGATGGTGACACCGTTGGCAATGTTGTTTGTGCCAGCCCAGTGGTTATGTCCACCACCGCGAACGGCAATATGCCAATCGCCAGCACCTGAACCAGCGTTGACCAAGGCAGTCAGCGCGGCAGAGACCTCCTGCGTGTCTCGGGGCTGAATGAGGCACCACGGTCGAAGACGGGCACTGACGGACCAATACGTTGCAATGCGTGTCTCGTAGCCTTCGTCAGTGGCGAATACCAAGCGGTCTCCCAAGCCAGCCGTGATCAAGGCATCGCACTATTTGGTAGTCATAAATGTCAGTCGTGAAATGTATCACTATTCCTGTTTACGGTGGTTGCATGACACGCATGTCGCAGGGATTCCTGCAAGTTTGCGGCGTAGGACTGAAGAAAGGGGGAAGCTTGGCGTACAGGAGCAATGCCGGTACGGTTCGTGGTGGTTGCACGAATCGCCATCGGCTCCGGGGCCTCGAGCGCGGCCACGGAGCAGATACCGGGCAGAAACAATGCCGAGGCGGCCAAGAGGCTGGTGCTGAAGCCTCCGTTGAACATTGTGGCGTTGGCGAATGTGAGTTGCTCCACGATTGATTGAGTAAGTCCGGCGGCGATGACCCCCGGTGACGAATCGAGCATACACAGACACGACCTTGGCGAGCTTGAGGGTGAGCAGCAGCGACCAAATTTCCTCTTTCCACGTGGCGGTAGATAGATTTCTTATACATGACACGGAGCCTTGAAATCTGCAATGACCGAGGCCCCGAGATTATTGATGCAAGACGACGGGTCTGCAGGAGAAGAAAAACAACGCTCAAGGGGCTATCGTCGTCATGAATCCAGTCATCCTCCTTTGGGGCCAAGCTGCTGCATTGTGTCGCTGATCCTACAGGCTTGGATGTTGACATTAGTTCTCAGGGGTCATCAAGGAAAATATGCAAGTCATTCTGTGCTAGAATGAAAAGTGACGTGGTAAGAAACTGCGTTTGACTTGACGCGCAAGTCGATGTTACCACACTCGGGGGAACCATGGGAAGGATTGTTGATTCTTCAACGGCACAGACTGCGGAAGAGGCGAGGTGCATATGCAACTCCGTCGATATCCCACTTCTGGTGGCGTTGTGACTGGCTGTCGTACTGCCCCCTCGATCAAGGTTGTTGGTCGTCCAGATAATGTTGTTGGTGCTTCGTTACACTCGCTTGATTAATATACCGGGCCCCAGTCAGGGGTACTTAAGCCCCCAGAATGATATTCACAGCGGATCTCGGCCTGATCGTAGGCACGGGTCTTGTCGAAATCAAATTTTACAGCAATCTAGACTTCGAGAGCCCGGAAAAGCTATCATTTCTCATCACTCTTTTTGTGAGATACTCAAGCTAGATGGAGCGAGAGAGTCAAACCTGGCGCGATACTCCAGTGCACGATTCAGCAGGCCCTGCTGAATTGCAATGGCGAGAATCAACTAACCAAAACTAGGTAGACAGCCGTTGGTTCTGCTGACTTGGCGAGGACGGAGCACTCCATAAATACGACGGTGAAGGTTGCGGCACAGCGCAGAGTGGTGGAGAATTCGAGCCTTAACAAGGGACCAGGACGCCGGGGAAGCATCCCACAGGCTTGGACCCTCGGTGTGGATTCTAGCCCTGTCTCCGCAGTCTGGACATGTCGCAAGGATCCTCGTCTGCAATCTGCGATTTCAGCCATGAGTTGAGGACGAAGCAAAGTCCGAGCAATTGAGCTGGAGTGGGGTGTTCCAAGTGAAGCAAGGGAACGGTATCCGTAGACAGAGACTTGGAACACTGAATGAATCTGACACAATCGCAATGCTTCAGTACGACTACCAATGCTCCTATGAAGAGTTTTTGATCCTCCTACGAACCATGCTTTCGCTACGTAGCTTCTTTCATTCACTGTTCTTTCACCTTCGAGATACTGGATCGCCATGTCTAATACCTCTGGTGTGATTACGGCTCTTCCGGCGCCTGAGGGGTATGTTGTCGACTTTGAGAACCCGCAGAGGCGGGACGTAGTCGAAACGTATGTGGTCGTTGGTATCGGCATGTTTCTAGCGCTTCTATTCCTACTTCAGCGTTTGTATGTCAAGGTGGTCATTCGCAAGAAGTTTGGACTTGATGATGGTTCGTGTTCCAAAGTTAGACTGGTACAAGTTTTGTTTTTAAACTGACATCGCTGCAGTGCTGCTTCTTTTTGGATGGGTAAGTTGTCTTATGTTCCCAAGCATCTTGGATGCCCGTTGGTGTTTATTCCCGACTTCGGGGCTTCAAACCGCTGCGTGCCTAGGGCAGTTTGGAGAACATGAGTGCAAGACATGCTGACTTCCAGAGAAGGTTTTCACGGTCGCCATCCAGGCATTGATGATAAGTTAGTCATTATCAAGCAATAGTGCTATTCTCGGCTGCTAACCCAGATGCAGAGGCTGCCCTGGAAGGATATGTTGGGGTTCATGGCTGGGAGATTCCAATTGAGAAGTTCAAAGACTTCACTTTCGTATGTCATCAAACTCCACCAGATGTTCTCGATGCACGGTTCCAAGACGCTGACAGCCAACAGTGGAACAGCTACATCAATCCGATTGTTTACGCGATCCCACCAGGAGCCTGCAAGATGGTCATCCTGTTGTTCTTCCTCGAGCTCAACAACAACGCCAAATGGTTCAAATGGTCTGTCTACATCACGATGTTCGTGGTAGTGGGTTCCAGCTTGAGCATTCTCTTCAGCTCCATCTTCCCCTGCAAACCGATCCCATCCGCATACGACCTCGTCACCGACGGCGAATGCATCGATCGAGTCGCGACGTTCAAGGCAACTGCGGCGTTCGGAGTCATAACAGATGTCATGATCATCTGCATCCCGATACCGATGGTCTTGTCTCTGCACATCTCAACACGGAAGAAAGTTGGACTGCTGGCCTTATTCGGCATTGGTTCGGTGTAAGGGCAAACCTCGGGAACCTTGGTGTTTCTTCATTGTATGGGCAGCGCTGACCGTACGGCAGGACTGTCATCACCTCTGTGGTCCGCTTGTACCTTTTGATCACCATTCTGGCCGACGCCGATCAGACGTGGGGTGGAATCTTCATCAACATTTGGGTGTAAGTCAGCCTAGTCGTGTCTTACCTTGTTTGATGATGTCTGACTTCTTTAGCAGAAGCATCGAAGCGAACCTGCTTGTTATGTGCGCATGTCTTTCCACGCTTCGCCTCTTCTTCCACACCGTTTCTCCAAAGCTTTTCTCCTCCGGGGCAGGCACAACTGGGAAATCTGGCGGAGTGTCGGGCAATGGTTTGCGTACCATAGGGGGCACTGGGGGAGGGATTTCAGCTGGTCATCGTTCTCAGTATAACCGCTTTGACACCAGTCGCGATGAACCGGAGTATGACATGGACACTTTCCACGTACAGATCAAGGGGGGGCCTCGCGAGCGAGATGTGGAACGCGCCCAAATGAAGGATTCAGGCGGCACATGGAATGACCCGGACAGTAGTAGCGAGAGGGCTATCGTACAAACCACTGAGACGCACATCTACATCTCAAAAGCATAGACATCAGATACGCGGAATATTCGTCTCCTAGTACACTTATGGGCCCGGTGAATCATTTTGCCCATGTTTGAGGGAAGCTTCCCTTCGCTGTGTTTCAAAGTTCCTAAAGAGACAGACCTCTAAAAGCGCTTGCGATGCTTTTCGTGCTATAAGGGTACGCGTACGCATAGCTAAGACCTGCCAAGAACCTCGATGGCTGGCTAAAGAGGTAGAAAGGAAGAACCTCAACGGCTAACTACATGCGAGAAACCAATAGCGTAGAATTCAGGGTTTCGTAAAGAGACGGAGCGATTTCACGCCTGACTTACTGATCCAACACTACTCTTCTATTAGTTCTGTTTCCACTCAGCAACTTAGCAGTTATATATAAGGTAGACAACGCAGGTTTTCTTGGTCGTGTTCCTTAGTGTCACAACAATCTGTATTTAAGAAAAGCTTTTGCCACCGCGCAACAACTTGCTCTTCTGGCTCTCTTTGGTATACTTGAATGTGTTTCTCGTCATGGCGTAAGTAACTCCGTACCTACCAAGCCACCAAAATACTGATGGCTAATTGCTGCAGAAGCCAAGAACTAAGTCTGTTGGAAAAGCTTCCTGCGGAGCTGTTGCTGGAGATCCAGCAGTACCTTCCCATTGAATGCAGACCACTGTTCCCGATTTTCAGTCCCAGGATCCTGGAGAAAATTGGTTATTATCCCAACACACTCTGCCCACGTGAGCGCAACGCTCTCCTACGCCAAATGGAACAGTACGATATGTACCCCGAGCTCATTCTTTGTCGATTCTGCTACAAATTCCACCGACCAGAGCTATCCTTAGCACTGGATTCAGACGAGCGGAATCGGCCCCGTTGTCAAGGAGAAGGCGCTCACTTCAAGCATATACGAACGCCGTATTTCGAAGAGCATGCGCACAAAACCGTCGTGGCCGGCCTCATACGACAGCAAAGTCTGCGTCACTTACTTCGTTCAGTGCCCATTTCATCGAACGTTCAATCCATGGTCAGGGTTGAGAAAAAAGCCGACGAAATTCGGATGGATTCTCTGCGCGACTTGAAGGTTGTGGGAGGAAGATGTTTGCTGAAGATGCAAGACATCTTCTATTTCGAACCCCAACTGGCGAAGGCCACCTACCTTGAAAACCCACCAAGTCATTTTCGTCTAGGTACGCTGTTGAGTGGGACTTGCCCTCATTTGCATCCGAACGAGATGATACAGGAGGTATTCTTGCCCAGCGGTTGGCGCGATCAACCTGAGGTCAGTTTGGACAAAATACTAGATTGTCTTTGGAACCATGAAAAGCCGTGCCAGAAACACTGCTTGCCCTCACTCAACTGGATCCGCAGCTGCCACACCTGTCCTATAGACTATGCTATCAGTGCAATGGACGCTCCTTTTGCCTTTGATGGGAAAAGGGTCAGGGCAGTAATTCTCACAAGCTGGAGAGACCTCGGAGATGGCAAATTCAAGTATACTGGTTTCAATGATGAAAGGTACCAGGAGCATCTAGAACGTCTTTGCCGGGGTCGTAGGACCAGAAAGTGTGGGGACATCTTTCAAGCGTACGAGCAGACGAGCCAGATGAGCTTTGCGCCTGACTATCCCAAGGATAGAATCACACTCGAAACAGAAGATAGTATGACGATTTTTACACCAAGCAGGGTTGAACCACGTGCAGATTAGCATCACTAGCCAGCAATAGAACATGGAACTTTAGAGTGTTATGGAGAAGCGACCACGTTTTTGATATGCTAGAGCGATGGCTTTTCCGCTGCGCTCGCTATTGTTGTCGTTGTCTTCGTCCTCGCTACCGCGCCGCCCCCCATGATCGCGTATATCGTTACTACAATTGCAGTGGTCGTTGTTGTCGCTATCTTGACTCGCTGATATGATAGTCGTCCTCAATCGGAGTCAAACTTCAACTCTTTTTGAGCACGCTGAAGGTAGGAATATATGTCTGCGTAAATATTGGAAAATCAGGCCGTCTCTTGAGGGAAGCCATCCTTTTGTGCCACACATTTTCTGTAGGACATCTTCGTGTTGCCGGCCATGAGGCTAAAACGGAATTCAGTTCGGCTTTCATCTCTGCCAAACCAACCGGACCAGATTTGCATGGTTTAACCAGCGGCGCGGTGTCTTTATCCGAACGTCGTCGTTCAAGCCAGGGATTTCCCACCAATAAGCCCAAGCCGAGCGCTGCAGTGCGACCTGTCCAAGGATCTCCCCCGCACATCTCCAAGATTACCCCAGCCAACTTCCCCACGCCGATCTCCCACCGGCCTGGAGCGCCAGACCGCTTCGCGGCAAGATGGGAGAGATGAAGTCGTTGGTCGGGGGTCTTTTCCGACCCGCGCGGGGGGTTCAGAGGCTGGGCAAAAGCATATTTTCCGGCTTTAATTACGATTAAAGTGATCAATCCAGCGTGTCTGCACTGCGATGACTCCATTTTAACTTTTCCGTCTGATGAGGAGTTCACCCGAAAAGAAGTGGGAATGCCCTCCTGCTCCACTAAGAATGCGTCCTCCAGGGTTCGGCTGAAGCCTTTAAGATGGGGGGCGAGGACCGTCCTCAGTCGCTCGCTCTTTTTGGGATGTTTCGTTTGACCGGGAAAAACGGATAGTGTCGTTGCATCGCATCCCTGAGGTGCCTCGTAAATCATGCGTCTTTCACGATCATTCGCCCTGCTTGCAGCCGTCACTGGCGTGCTGTCGTACGCGGTGGAGCTGCCTGCCGGTGTTCCGAGATCTCTGCAAGAGTTCAGGGACGTCCACCCCTACACGCCCCCTTCGAATGGGTGTGGACGCAAGACTGTCGAGATCCGCGCTTCGAGGAACGACACGGATGACGTCTCTGAGGAGTTCCGCAAGGGACTTCAGGACGCTAATAACGGCGGTACACTGTACTTGCCGAAAGGGAAGACTTTCGTCATTGCGAAGGCTCTTGACTTGACTTTCCTAAACGACGTGCATGTTCGTCTTGAAGGAGAGATTAAGGTGTGCCACACAAGATCGCCTTCTAAGTTCTGTCTAAGCTGCGAGTACTAACACACTTGGCTCAGTTCACCAATGATGTCGCTTACTGGCAAGTACGTGGAAGAGATATCTTGCACTATTCGGCATAGCTTCATGGCATTAACAACGAGCCGTAGGAAAATGCCTTCGAGCACCCGTTCCAAGTAAGTCTTTTCGACATGACAACTTGACATGATTGAGGCTAACCAACGGCAGAAATCCATCATGTTCTGTATGCTGTACTGCTGTACTGCTCAAAACGCTTTGTCGCGTAACTAATTACTCTTGCAGGGAAGTGGGGTGGAAAGGACATCAAGATCTATGGTGACGGTGTCATCAATGGACAAGGGTTCGCTGAATATCCCTTCTATCAATAGCTTCTTGGCTGACACTTTCAATAGCCAGCGCTGGTGGAATGAGTTCAACGCCGGTATTGGATCGTAAGTATCAGTCTCTCCTTTATGACATTCTGTAACTACTAACACTACCCTAGTATCTTGGTGAGAAGGTCCTATTCTTCGTAACGCTATCCTCCAACTGACCAACCCCAGAACCCTGACAACAAATACCTTCGGCCCATTCTCTTCTACGTGGAGAACACAACCAACCTAGAGGTTGAGGGTATTCACATGAAAGATTCACCTTGCTGGACAAACTTCATCGTTGGATGTAAGTCATCATGATACTTTAGCCGCGACTAAGGTCATAGGACTTCATCGTGTTCCCGAGACTGACTGCATCAATAGCCAGCAACATCCAGTACAAGGACGTCATCGCCACGGCCATCACGAACAACGGCAGCATCATCCCCAAGAACACGGATTTCTTCGACTCTCTCGACGTGCAGGACGTCCGCATTGAGCGTGTCTGGGTCAACATTGACGATGACTGTTTCTCCCCCAAGTCCAACAACACCAACCTCTACGTGAATACGATGTACTGCAATGGTGCGTTTGACTTCTGATGATTTATCTTTCCTATAACTGACCTGGCTTCTAGGTACTCACGGTCAAGTAAGAATACGAGAAAGCCTGCGACAACATGACGACTAACCCGTGTTCTTAGTCAATCGGATCTCTCGGCCAGTACGCCGGCGAGATGTCATTCGTAAAGGACGTCCACATTGAAAACGTGTGGATGTTGAACGGCGACGTAATATCCTCACCAACTCAATCAATCGCGACGCAACTCACACTTTCATAGTACTCGGGAGCTCGTATCAAGACCTGGGCCGGCCCTAACGTCGGCTACGGATACGTCGAGAACATCACATACAAGTGAGACCCCCCCTTCTTTGTCACCGATACCTCCACGAGGTTGCTAATCCACGCATAAAGGAACTTCTGGCTGGCAAGAATGGACTACGGAATCATCCTCGACTCGTGCTACTTCAACGTAAGACAACCACGACTCAGAAATTCGTGGCTGCTTGGCAGCAGCAGGCCGCAAACGTCCAAGATCGCTAACATGGGGCCTAGATTAACGAGACCACCTGCGAGCAGTACCCTTCCGGCATGAACGTGTCCAACGTCTTGTTCGAGAACTTTACGGGCTACACGAGCGGTATCTACGGTAACGCGGTCGCGAAGCTGACCTGCTCGACGAACCCCGATGCCGTCTGCCACAACATCACGGTGAAGAACTTCAACGTCACGAGCCCCTGCGGCGGTGAGCCTGTCATCATCTGCGATGGCATCGACGGTGGCATTGACACGCCGTGCGTGAGTATCGATAGCGATGAGGCGAAGGCTGCGTTGGCGGCCAAGTGCCAGACGCCGCTTGCCCCCATCGACACTAAACCGTGGTAGACAGCGTGTTCATGCACAGTAGGACACCGCATCGTCACTTATCAAGAGAGGTAGATGGTATGAACAGCTATTATTAAGTATAGTATTAGTATAAATATAAAGAGAAATGCAATGTATGAAATCAGGACTCCTTCCCAATGCGAGCACATATACGTTCATTCTGAGGCGTGAAGACAACCGTCCACCTTCAAGTCTAAGCTCCATTGCCTCCAGCAGGGATGGTGCCAGTACCAGGTACGGTGTTCTGGAGAGGCTGGGACAGAACGACGTCAGACTGCAGAGGCTGAGAAAGGACCACGCCATCGGGCATGTCAGAAGTCACTGTGTTCGAAGGTCCATCGCCAGATGGAACGGGGTCTTCGGAGGGGGTAGACTCAGGAGTTGACTCAGGAGTAGGGTCAGCCGCAGGAGTGGGATCCTCGGCCGGAGTCGAGTCTCCGGTGGGCGTTGACTCATCAGTTGGAGTTGGGTCAGCGGCGGGTGTTCCGTCATCAGTAGGTGTAGGAGGGTCAACCGCAGGAGTGAAAGCCTCAGTGGCAGTCGGGTCGGACACAGGAGCAGACTCATCGGTGGTGGTAGGATCGTTGGCAGGGTCCTCAGTCGGATCGGGGGTAGGGATGTCCTCTCCGGCAGCAGGGACAGGATCCGGCACGGAGCCATCGGTAGATGTGGCGACCGGGTCTTCAGCATTGACCAGATCAGGAATACCGGTCTCAGTATCCGCCTGAACGGTCTGCGTGGGCGCATCTGTGTTCACGACTGGCGGAAGATGGCTCTCTGAAGCTGGGTTGACAGTGGCGATGGAAAACCATTCAGTGCCGCCCTTCTCGGGGAGGAAACCCGCAGATGCGCTCTCTGCGTCGTAGTAGAGACCGTCCTCCTGGCGGTAGTAGACATGGGCAATGTTGATGTACTGCTTGTCGTTGTCGGGGCCGGCCTTCCATACGGCGTAGACCACAGACTCGGGAGCCATGGTGCTGCCGTCGCGGTTCTTGCATGCGATCCAATCTTGCTGGATGTAGATGGGGCTGCAGACGACATCGAAGGCGGGTGCTCCAGAGGGGACACCTTCGAAGCCCAAGAGGTTGAATTGAGAGCTGCATCCTCCAGGAGAGCATCCCCACTGGTAGTCGGTGGCCAGCCAGCCGTTATCTTGCTGCTGGCGGCGGTTGATGACAGCGGCGGAAGCACCCACTGCGAAGGCGGAGGCCACGATGGCAATGCGGCTGCTGGCGACCATCTTGATGGAAAGAATTACTGGTGTTGAAGTGATTGGATTTGGCTGTCTGAAGGCTGAATTGCTTGGGATTGACAACTTTCTCGGGGACCCGAGGTGCTTTTATTGCGTGGGGCTTCGGTCAGTTTCTCGGGTGAGACAACGACGTTTGCGTTTGCGGTGAGACAGAGGGGGCGATTGTTCGCAAAGGAATCGCCTGTTGGAACGGTTTCTGTGTGATGATGAAAAGAATGAGACTCGGACAATTGTGGTTCCCTCTTTCAATATATAAAAAAATCCCATCCCTGCGAATGCTGAAGCATCGTAAACATTGTGATAGTGCGCCACGACAGGCAGGAGATCGCCAGCTCGCCATGCAGATCTCCAGGGCAAGCAAGCCAGAGAATGTCCGTACCCACACTAGACCCAATAAGATGACCAGCTAGCGATGTAAACGTTGTTCCCACTCTCGGATCCGTCTGACAAACAACAGCTTTCCGGACTCGGTCACGAAATGTCGCCGCGTTTGGAAGGGTTGGCTGGGGATAGTCTCACTCCACAAAGACCCCGCCAACGCCAGGGCACGAGACCGGAGAGCCAGTACGGCAACGTCGCAGCCAAATACTTGGAAAGGACCGATCCAGAGCCAATCATGGCTGTCAGGCGTGGCAGGCTAAAAGGCTTAATTCAGGTAGCACCACGGCTTGTCCGCCCTACCGGGGTCGAGCCGGGTGCCCAATCTGTAAGACATTGAATCGAAGCAGTCATCCGGAGGGCTATTTTGGATGCCACGGGCCGTGGGTAAGCTCAGCCCGTGGCTTGTCGGTTCACTCCGACTGGTCCGTCCCCTCTTCGGCCGCATCTCCTCTGGGCTTTCCGCCTCGGTGGGAGCTTCAAAGCAGCCAGCCGCTGTCATTCCTGCATGCAGACTTCCATAGGCGAATCCAGACGTTTGGCTTCCAGTGGTCTAGACCCAGGGGGTCGAATTGGAAGCCTCTTTCCACTTAGACGCTCGTGGTCGCGGTTATCGCGATCACTATTAGAGATGGCTTCCATGAGATGGAAAATTTGAATGACTTGGCGTTGACCGCAAGCAGCATGTTCACATCTGACCCCTGATAATCCCCTTGTCAACCAAGCTGAGGTCGTATCCGACTGTCTGGTTATACAGATGTCTTGGTCTCACTGATACTCAGTAATTTCAGCGACGATTTTCTTACCACCCCTTCGTGCTGGTATTTCTCAATGTCGGCCTTCACGGACGCCTCTCCCGTCGTCCTCTCGCTTACCTGTCTTAGCACCTCAGCCGCACGCCAACCTCTGGCAGCGTTAGTTGTTAATACGGTTTGCCTATTTGGTAATACTAGAGCGATTGCTGTGCGAACACGGTAGGCGGCTCATTCACGCGTTGAACTTAAGTTACCCGGCGTCTTGCCGGTGCTGTCAACGTGCCGGTCAAGTCCGAGAGATTGATTACGTGAGGCATCATCGACTGCACTTGGATCAGTGAGGCCAGCGATGATCTTCTTAATATTGATCTTAGTCATTCGCGTATGCTTTTTGATTCCTGAACCAGATCATCGCTGTATTCTAAATAATCCAAAAGTTGGCTTCTATCTATGTCCTACACCTAGTGACGAAGCTCCTCAACGCATCTACCGCCTCCTCCCTGCTCCTTTTGCTTACAAGACTGCTTGTGATATTGTCTTGCTCCGACTCTGGTGCCATACCCTCGTTTCTTGGCGGGTTATTGTCAAGATTTGTTGGGAAAGGATATCCGTTGCCGACGGCGGCTATGAAAGACTTGACCTCCTCACTCATCCCCTGCTCGTCGTACAACTTCACCAAGTGATCCCAACTCTTCTCCACCAACGGAACCGCATCGACAAACTCCATTGGCTTGCCAAAGGCACTGCTAATCTGCAGCAAATTCGCCATCCGGTAAACATCGGCCGACTGGTTCTCCCCCGCCGCATGGAAGAGCGCAGGGTTGAAGAACAGCCCGTCGCCCACCTCCAACGGCAGCGCCACATAGTTCTTCAAGAAGAACTCGTTGAACTCGGGTCGCCGGTACGCCACATACCCAGGCTCGAACGTCTGGCTAAAAGGCAGCAGCCTCGTCGGCCCGCTCTCGATGGGGACCTCGGAGTGGGCCACGGCGCCCTGCAGCGTCAGGAGCTGGCTGGCAACCTGCATCGCGCGGGGGAACTGCGCTGACGCCGCGGCGGTCTGAAAGCCGACGTGGTAGTCCCGGTGGCAGACCTGCGGCGCGGCGCCGGGCTTGGTGTTGTTCACCTGCGCGGTGATGCGGTACCCGGGCCCCAGCCACGCGCTGGAGATGAGGCCGAGGTAGGGGTTCGCGTAGTACTTCACGAAGGACGCCGGGTCCGTGAGGCCATGCTTGCTGAAGGAGTTCCAGATGCGGTCGTTCTTGCCGGCGCTGGCGAAGTGGTCGCCCTTTGCGACGCCTGATTTCTTTTCCTCCTCGATTATGGACGCAAAGGCGGCGTTGGACGCTTCGATTAGGGACCTGTCGCGGTAGAGGCCTTTGGTGACGAAGACGCCGGGGCCGGAGATGAGGACGCGGTACCACTCGTCCTGGAGGGCCGCGCGTTGGTCTTGGTCGAGGCTGGCGTACGGCGGGAGGTCGTAGATGGGGATGTTCTTTTCGATCGAGGCGGCTAAGGGATAGTCTTCTGGCGTTGCTGACTGGGAGCAGAGGGATGCGAATGAATCTATTGCGGAGGCTTCAGAAGTCGAGAAGAGACGTGCGGATGACGTGCTGGAGGGCCGAGCCCCGTTCGTCTGGCCGTTGCGGATGGTCATGTTTTCTTTCGTGTGAGATGTCGTGACAACGAAAGTGGTGTGTAGAGCACTCTCTTGATGCTTTGAAGAAGTCAATTGTCGTAGTTGTGGAGGGGAAGCGCGGGGTATTTAAGACCGTGACCTGGTGGGTTTTCTCTCCACAGTGTTTTGGCTTGGTTCGTTCAAAGACGTTTGGTACGTCATACGTCGTTCACTGCTGTATAACGCGTTCCTTTCTCTGAGAAGTTCTGGAAAGGGAATTATTCAACGATTCTTGGGAAACGCCAGGCTGCTTCTCCATCGGCCAGAATTGCCCGTTTCAGGTCCGGATGGGGCCGGTTCTCGGCGGGCCCACACCCGGATCGCTCCGCGAGTGTACTCTGCCAGCACCGGCGGCTGAGCCGAATAAGCCACCTTAATCTATACGTTTAAACGCGGCGATTCTTGTAGCTTTTGGTCTAGAGTGTTTGGAAATATCTTCATGCGTAGTTAAATCCCCAGGTCTCGTGAAGTGGAGATCTCGGGATATGGTTTCCGATCACCCTATGAGATCTCGCTGTGCCCTCAGATCTAACATTTCATCGGACCGTAGTTCCGGGAGGCTCATCGGGCGGCCCCATATGCTAGACTCATTAGTTTATGGCGGCGTCGGCGGGGAGAACTGGCCGATGCCATCCGATCACGGGGCGTGCCAAAGGATGATGGTCTGGCGTCATTCAAGATCATTTCCCTGAGAAGGAAGAAGACTGTTCGTCTACCCCTCAAACAACAAGGCTTGGAATATTCTCTTCCTGTTCAGTACGCAGCTTGCGAAGCGCACTGATGTTGTTCGGAACTGGCCGAGCGGCCAAGGAGTAACCTTGCCACGTCTAGGTTGATTCTCTAGCGAAAGCATAAAGCTTACATCGAGCGGACCTACTCAGTAGGTTATGACCTATCTATGCCAATACTAGCTCTTCTAGTAACCCATAAAACTGAGCTTGTTACATGCCTTGCAAGCAGTCAAGGTTATTATGTATCCAGACTCGGTATTGGCGGCGAATGGTCTTCGAATCGTTACGAGCCATGATCGGGGTTCGGCGCCTACGAGCCCCGCGAAACGTGCCGGATTGGCTGCAAGCTGCTAAATGGCTATAATCTCAAATGATTCATATTCTATCATCATTAACATTGGCCGCTACGAGGCATTACAACAGCAACTCGCTGCCTTTTGTTACTGTATTTGTCTCGAAAAGCGAGGTCGTCAACGTAGGACTCAATCGCAATTCGGACTCTGCAACGTGGTTCGGACTCTTTACGAGTGCGGGGAGGCTTCCCGCTGTAGAAGTGTCTTTACTTTACGACTCAGCAAATAGGACGGGTTTTACGCTTTATTTCCTGTAAACTCAGAACCTTTAGAGGGTTCAGCACGGCCCGGTGTCCTTCGACCTTCGGTACTGTTCGGCCGACTCGCGATGCCTCGGTATGACTACAGGTTCGTACGGATAAGCTTATTTTGGTTACGCGGGGAGTTACACGACAGACATTGTGTGAATAAATACGACCGCTTGGCGGCTTGGGATATTTATCATCATCCATCTCTTTACTTGAAGCTCAACCAATGTTGGCTGTGGTCCGAGGTATGAGTTCCGAGACCGAGGGCCTTCTTGACAGTCCCTTTCTAGGATCCCACCACCAGAAACAGCAGGAAAAAGCGAAACCGAGTCAAAATTCGAGTCAAATTCCACTTGCTATGCACCATTTGGTCGGATGAACCAAAATACCGACTCATCGACCGGCGTGGTGGTTTTGGGGAGCACGACTATGGCTGGCCTTCGACCATTAGAAACTTCTACCAAAGCCTTAGCACCCTATCATAGCGGTGTAGTTTGCCGTAGCGCCCAGCAGGTTCCCTGCACGCAGCAGGCCCGGCGTCCACGCGCCCCGCGATTCAAGGCTTAATTCCACCTAAGCCACCCCCGACATAGGGTACCCTCCGGAGTGCTTATTAGCTTAGATACATGTTGCGTTGCGAAGAAGTGCGTGATTGGGGCCTCCGGACCGGCCAAGAAGCTGCCACCGACCCGCACCACATCGTGCGCACGCATGAGACCCTGCCTTCCTTAATTAGCCAGATTCAACCTCCACTCCTTCAACCACCACCAACAAGGCTGATCCGGGGCCAAGGGGGCAGCATGCCTCAACCATCGAAGCCCGAGTCCAAGAGGAGACATGTCACGACTGCATGTATCTCCTGCAGGGAGAGCAAGATCAAGGTACTTCACCTCCGCGAAGTCGGTTGAATTGCACAGGCTAACGATCCACAGTGTGACGGTGCAACGCCGACATGTTCCAACTGCAAGAACAAACGCAGGGACTGTAGATACCAAGCCGGAGAGGACAAACGCAAGTGAGTTTTGTATTGATTATGAGGGTCGTCGGAAGTTGACCTTACCGGGAATAGGCTTTCATTGCGCGTTGCTGTAGAGTTGCTTTCCAGCAGGGTCGATCAGCTTTGTCATTTCATCAGTCAAAATGGGCTCCAGCCGCCCGCGATGTCTTCAGAGGAGGGCAAGAGCCTCAACAGGATCCTGGAAACTCTGGGTCTCTCCAAAGTCCAAGTCACGCTGGAGAAACCCACGCCGCCATCCATGAACTCGGCACTACCGATCGACCCGGCACTGTCACTTGGTCAGTATCCGCTTGCACCGGCTCTTCCTGTTGTGCACCCCATGGCGCCACCGGGCCAGCTGCCCCCCGACTTTGACCTGTCCTTCGACGCAGCCGCTTTTGGTTTCGACGCCGTCCGTCACGGCCACACGCCAGCGGCATGGGCTCAACCGAGGGATGCTGCGTCAAAGGTCATTGCGGACTGGGACTGGAGCCCCCCCGAGAACGGAGACATCATCGCTCCCGGCGTCGACGTCGCAAGCGTGCGCGCACCCAGTCATCCTCTGCTCAGCTCTTACTCGGGAGAGGGCGGCGGTGCGCTGAGCGATAACGAGAACGACGACAGTGCATCGGGGACGACGGAGGAAGACCTCGTCAACCAACTGTCAGATCGGCTGGGATCTCTGCACATCGGGCCCAACGGGCAGATTTCGTACTACGGACCGACATCAAACTTTAGTCTTGTTGAAATGCCCGCGGGGAGCGACACGTTGGCGGTCGATCGGACTGTGCGGAACGACGGGCAGGAGCACCTGGACATGATGGGCTACGGCAAGACGATACCACCGGATCTGGAAGAGCACCTGATCAACCTCTACTTTGCATGGCAGGACCCCTTCTCGCATATTGTCGATCGGACTTTGTACGAAGACGCCAAGTACAAGTGGCTGGAACGGGAGGAAGACACGCCGTATTATTCTGAGGCTCTCAGAAACGCAATGTTGGTTGCTCCGGTCCCCCAACGGAAAATAGGCATTGCAAGAGCATGTTTCTAACGCGATCCAGGTGTTCTCTCGGCGCTGCCTTCGAGTCTCGGTACCATCCGAACTTTGTCACGTTTCCCAAGTCTCTGCCCGACTTCTTTGCCGCGCGCGCCAAGACTTTGTTGGAGATTGAGCTGGACTCGCCCTCGGTGTCGACCGTCCAAGCGATGGTCGTCCTCAGCAGCCACGAAATCGGAGCAAATAGAGACTCCAGGGGCTGGTTGTACAGCGGTACTGTATCATTGCGCCGTTCCATGAGGGAAGCTGGGGACATCAGCGCTAACAGAACATCCCTAAAGGAATGGCCATTCGCCTCGCCTTTGATTTGGCTCTTCACAAGGACATGACTCCCTACGTTACAAAGGGTATCCTAACGCCTGCTGAAGCAGATCTGCGCCGGGCCGTCTTTTGGGGGACGTATGTTGTGGACCAGTAAGTGAAGCACCGGCAGCCTTTCTTGTCCTCAAGCTCTGATATCGGCTCCTCAAAGAACTCTAGGTTACTACCGGGGCCGGCCGTTCCGCGTCAGCCTCGACGATATAACAGTGCAAAAACCGGTCGCTGGCGCTTCAGGTGCTGCAGCTTGGCTGCCTTATACGTCGCCGCGCAGCAATGACTCTCCTCCAGCAGCGCTGACATATCATATCGAGGATGTAAGCCTCCAGAGAATAGAGCTGTGCGAGATCATGGCTCCTCTTGGACATACGTTGTAAGTGGAGTTGAATTCAGAGTCTCCAAACTATTCTGCCTGCCAGCAAGACTGACTGACAACTTTCCACAAGATACGGCAACTCTAAGATTCCAAGAAACGTCCTCCAGGAGAAAAACGAGCAGATTGTCTCCCTGCTCTTCGTCTGGAAAGAGAACCTCCCCGAAGCTCTTCAAGTCGACCTCGAGGATACCGAAAGAACATACCTGCCACACGTTCTTCTCCTCCAGTCAGTAGCCCCTTTCCCCCCTACTATCCAACTCGCCACAGCTTGGACACCATCTAACTTTCACATAACAGCATGCAATACTACCAGAATGTAATCCACGCCCACCGCCCCTGGATGTCCTCCTCCTACCTCCAGCCGCAGCCGCCGCAGGGCCCGGGCTACATGCACGCGCAGCGCATGTGCATCGAGTCCGCCGCTGCCGTCGCCAAGCTCATCCTGCTCTACGAGAGCCGCTACTCCCTGCGCCGCGTCAATATCCAGGGCGTCGCCGTCATCTTCTCCGCCGCCATCATCCTCATCTTCGCGTCCATGTCGCGCCGCCGTCGCCGCCGCGCCAAGACCGCTGAGACCGCCACGCACCTGAGCGTGTGCTTCCGCGCGCTCGAAGAGCTGTCCGCCTCGTGGGAGTGCGCCAAGCGCTCGCGCGACTTTCTGCTCATGCTGCAGCGCAAGTGGGAGCTGAAGTCGCGGAGGCTGAGCGGGGCCGCGGCGGCAGCGGCGAGACGGCCGGGGATGGGGCCGACGTCGGGTGGTGGGGGGCTGGTGAGGGCGGCGTCTGCGGGAAACCAGTCGAGAAAGAGGGCGAGGACAGACAGTCCTGCGGGGTCAAGAAGCGTGGGCAGCTTTCAGAGCATATCGCCGTCGCAGCAGCCGGGAGATCCGGGTGTGTTGGATGAGAGGGGGGAGGTCGACCACGAGGGGATTGATATGGATATGCGGCTTGACCTCGACTGGGTCTTTGCCGCGGGAGGACAGGCCATGCCGGGAAGTTGGGATGGTTTGCTGCCTCCTGACGCGTTGTACTTCAACCACGACGGCCCGGAATAGGCCAGCCATTCTACACAATGACATCAAGAACACACCAGCGAAAGACGAGTGTGACAAGACATGATGTCGAACGCCGGCCATGCTAACCTTGAATTACTTTTGATATGGTATCGCTACTAAAAGTACAGGAATTGCTTCTCCACTCGTGAACAATCTCCCCCTTTCCCCTCAACCCCTATCTCCCTCACGCCGCCTCCTGCATATACGGCCACGACCCCCTCCACGACAACATCGTCATCAGCGCCTGCGGACTACTCCTCCCAAACTGCGCCCTCGCCATCGCCAGGTTCTCGCCGTACTTACTTGCCCTCTCCACCGTGTAATTCAGCTGCCCCATCTCGCCGTACTGCCACACCCGCATCGTCGTCGGCGTCCGCCCCTCCGCGCGCTCCACCGCGACGATATTGTCGTCCGCCCGCTCCAGCGTCAGCCGCGCGTGCTCAAACTCCTGCGCCGTGAGCTGCAAGCCCGCCAGCGCGAACAGGCACTTGCACGCCTCCCGCAGCCGCCCCTGCGCCATGTACGCCGCCGACGTGCTCGCGTACAGCGCCGTCATCTCCGCGAAGTCGCTGCCGCCCGTCTCGCCCAGACGCGCGAGCAGCTGGCCCTGCAAGCCGTGGATGTAGTGGATCGTGATGTTCAGCAGCCCCAGCCGCTTCTCCAGGTCCTTGGCGCCGTACTTTACTAGGGAATGCAGGATGCGCACGCGCTCTCTGCGGTCAACCCGCCGGATGCGCGCCCAGATCAGCGTCAGCGGGTGCCGCGGGCCGTGGACCTGCTCGTGCAGGGTGCAGATGTGCGGGAGCAGCCACTCGGAGATGTCGCGCGGCTGGCTGAGCACGGAGTAGCACAGGAAGAAGGCCAGCTCGGGGTCCTGGTCCTTGATGATCCAGCGGAGGACGTCGAGCTGCGCACACAAGGCAGCGTGGGCGCCGCGGAAGTCGCCGCGGCGGCCGACGATGTGGCGGTGCGTGTCGCTCATGAAGTCGCCCCAGCGGTTGGGGCGGTCGCGGGACGGCGCGCGCTGGCCGGCGGCGCAGAGCGTGTCGTCGACCATGGTCCACATGCGGCCCTGGAATGCGCCGTCGAAGAAGCCCTTCATGAGGCGCAGGATCTCGTCCGGGATGCGCAGGTCCGCGGCCGGGTCGATGACGCGCGGCATCGGCGGCGGCGAGGGCGTGCGGCAGCGGATGCCGTAGCGGGCGACGGCCTCGTAGTCTTCCTCGTCTACCGCGCCGGCGCCGGCGACTAGGCCGGGCTCGCCCTTGAGCAGCCGCACGAGCTCGCGCTGCGCGTCCTGGTCCTGGTCCGGGGAGGCGTAGCGCGGGTCGCGCTGCAGGTCGGGGCGGCGCTTGAGGTAGTGGGCGATGCGCTCCCACTCGACCTCCTGGTTGCGGACGGTGAAGCGGGTCTTTTTGCCGGCGGCGTCGCGCTTGTTCTTGACCTGGAGCATGGCCAGGACCTCGGCTTCTTTGAACTTCTTGTCGAGGCCCCAGCGCTTGATACGGGTCTTGAACATCCTCTCCCTAGAGCGCGGGTAACGTTCGTGTCAGTCCCCATTTTTTATTGTTACTTCACACCCCGGATCTCTTCCTCGGCCTTGTCGAAAGAGGGGATGGAGAGAATGTTTAACATGGTGTGTGGAATTTTGGGTAATTCTTCTTTGGAAGGGGTTTTAAGAGGAGCAAGGGTGGGAAAGAGTGTGAACTAGCTTTGGACGGATGTATGGATGGGTTGGGCAAGGTGGGTTTCTTACGTTGCATGAAAGTAGTAAGTCTCCTCCATTATCTGCTTGACCTCCTTCAACGTCTTGTTCTCGTCCCGGTACAGCCTTGTGATGATCCCCCTGTGGCACGTCCAATGGTCCTCTGTGGCGTACACCTTGCTCTTGGTAACTATTGGCAGCGCCACAGGGGCGGAGACGGGGACGTCAACAGGCGAAACAGGAACGGATAGAGCAGCAGCAGCAGGAACAGCAACAGCAGCAGCACCCTCGAGGCACGGAGAGAGCTGCTGCTGCTGCTGCTGCGGAGACTCCATGGTGGTTGGTGGTGGTGGTGGTCGGGCGCAGCGCGACGGCGGCGGCGGCGGCGGCGGGCTGGGCTTGCGGTTGGCGTGGAGTTCCAAGGTTTTTCCAAGGTCCAGATCCAGTCCAATCCAGTCTGACTATTCCGTCTCCTCTTCGCCCGATCGAGTAGTCGTCGGTCAGCGAATAGGTGGTTCCTTTCCCGCGCGAGGCTCGAGGCTGCGGGACAAGCAGATTTGGGGACAGCCCAAGCCACCCCCCGTTCAGCCAAACAAACCGCACAACAACCCAGACGAGGACAAAAAAAAGAGGGGAATCCCCCAGGCTGAGGGGACGGGAGGAGGAGCAGGAGTGTGAGAGAGAGGAGCTGAAGTCCGAGGGAGGGAGATATGGAGAGATTGGGGGGCTCCGCCGTCAGCAAGATCGGGCGAAGGCGCCTTTCCTGGGATTTCCTGGTTCAGTAACAAGTTCGGTGTAAGAGCGAGGAAGCTTCAGCTTGGGGTTGGCGAATCCTTCCTCCCGTTCTGCTGGTCCAAAAAAACTGTGAAGGACGGGAAGAGCGAATGTGATAGGTGTAGAGCAATTCCCCTTTCCAGGAGTTGCGCCCGAATCCTTCTTTTTGGGGGCCGGGAACTGCAGACCGAGCAAAATAATTGTGGGAAAGGGTGCGGCGCACGCACAGAAACAGAGCAAGTTCGGTCTTATGTTGGAAGGGCGATTCCTTGGGGTGCTCGAGTTGCCTGAGGGAGGGGGAGGGAGGGGGGAGAAGGCGAAGGGGGGAGAAGGCGTGAGGACCAACAGCACACAACGAGGGGGGGAGGACGGAGGCCGGCGGGCGGTGGTATGTGACGTTGGGCCCCCCGACTCGAGCAGCATCCGTGATTGGCCCAGGTCAAAAGGACTTCGCAGCTTTAGCGAGATTTCCCGTGCAGGGTCGGCTTTTGGTGGGCATCGGCGGGAGCTGCGCGGATGCGGCGCGTGCCGGAGGAGGTGATTGGTCGTGTCCGGCGTGAAAGGAACATTAAGCAAAAAGGGCGATGAGGCTTGTGTTGTTTTCGGGATTTGGAGGTGGTTTGATGATGATGGGATCAAAACGGGCTTGAGCGAGCGAGATGCGGGTCAGTCCAGTCTTCTTAGTCTATTTGGCGGAGGGGCGGAGTGGCGTATGCAACCTTGATTCAACAACTTCAAGAGCCTCGAAGGGTGAGTGGTGTTGATGGTGGGTGGTACGAGGGGTAACCTGATTGCTGTTCCGTGATGTTTGCTCTCCGGTGTTCGTCTCGAATGGCAGTGAAATGTCGACCGGCGATCCGGCCTCGAAACGGGGGTGGTCGAGAACAAAGGACGGGAACTCAAAAGGCCCCCGCGTCTTGACAGCACAGCACACAGCACGACATCCACATACCTCTCCTCCACTGCTCACCACACCTCGGCAGAATAACTCCTTAAATGCACCCAGACAAGCCCATCACCTCCCCCTTCTGCAATTATTCAGCCTTCATGAAGATGCAATTACAATTATCTCGCCGCCCCCTTTCCCCTCAATTAACGGAGATGCTGACCACGCAGCAACCTTCCCTGCTCCCTCTCCCGGCCCATCCTATCAAGCAAGCATGGAACGCGGCAGGCTGGATGAACACCTCGAGTAACACGCAAGAGAGTGCCGATAGCATGGGTGATTTGGAATGAAATCGCACATCATGTCTGGTTTGTTGTCTCGTAGCCCCCTCCCCGAGCGTTCCCGGCCCATGATCAGGCCACGCAGCGATGCACTCACGAAACACACAAATCCCGAATGTCACCGCGACGCAAGAGAGACTGTTGCACTGGATTTCGCTACGGATACATCTGCCGAGCTGCAACTACCGATCCCCACCCGCATGTTGTAGAACCTTTACTCACTCACTCACTCACTACCACCCAGCCAGCCAGCCAATATCTACCAATCCGTATACCACCGATCAAACAAATCAGCAGGCGGCGGCCCGGACGCATACCCGTTGATGCTCGGGCCCTCAAACCGCGCCCGGAACATGTTATCGAACTCGTCCCGCGTCATCCCCGCGCCTCCCCGTCGGTCGCGCTCGTTCTGTTCATCAGCCCTGTTGTACCCCGGACCTCGTCCTCCACCGTAACCCCCACCGGCACCGGGGGAGGAGCCTTCGCCGAAGCCAGGCGGCGGCCCGAACATCTCCTCAAAGCTGACCCCCACACCACCACCACCGGAGCCGTAACCGTAGCCACTGGCCTCCGGGCCAAAGCGCCCGCCGAAACCCCCACCGCCAAAGACCCCGCTCAGAAACTCCTCAAACCCCATCTCCCGCTCCGCTCCGTATCCGCGCGGCTCGTACCCTCCAGCTCCTCCATATCCCTCCCTCTCATCCATGCCCATCCTGCCGCCACCACCACCACCACCACCACCACCACTACCACTACCACTACCACCACCTCTTCCATCTGCGCCGGCTCTCCTCCGGAAAGCCTCCATAAACACCCGTCCCCACTCCTCCTCGCTCCGCCCCCTGCCCCCCGTGTCCATGTACTCAAACGCAGCAGACCGGTACGGCGACGCGCCAAACGTCCGCTGCTGCTGCTGCTGGCCACGCTCACGCTCGCGCTCGCGCCGCTCGCTCTCAAAGTTCTCACGCGCAAAGCGGCCCGTTCCGCGGTAGAAGCCGTCGGGGTACTGGTTGTCCTCCTCACGGCTGCGGTTGCTGTTGTGATCTTGCCGCTGGTCCCGTCCCCCGCCTTGCGCACGCGTGGCGGCGGCGCGGCCGGGCGAGTTGCTGACCTCGGAGTATCCGTCGAATTCGTAGTGCATTGTGTGCAGTCGTGGTATGTCTGTCTTGTAACGGCTGAGGATTCTCGTGAGGAAGTGCAGGTTATCACTTTATGCCACGTCTGCTCCTGGGCAAATCCTTCTGCGCAGGATGTGGAGGGTATTTATGAGGTGTTTGCTGGTTATGGTGGCACGGTGACTAATTCCCAAGCAGTTGTGATTTGGCTAGTGATGAAGTGAAAAACATGTTGCGGCTACGGTAGCACGCTGCTGGAAACAGGACATTCGCGGTGATTCACTTTGCAACGTACATCACTTCACTGCGGCTATAGACTTGATTGTTGGGTATTCGCTAAGGTTTGTTTTTGCAAGCGCAGTGAGTAGCGCCAATTGTCTATGTACAAGCTCCAGGTATGAAGCGGTTCGCCCCAGCCTCATGTCTTAGCTTGTCATCTCCCATGCTGAAGATAACAAGCGCTGTCTGTCCACCTGGTATGCAGGCAGAGGCGGGTATAATAGAAAACATACATTACAGGTATCCAGGATCCAGTAGACGCATGATCGCTCCCACGGATAACGCCGAGCACCAAACAAGTAAAAAAAAAAAAAAAGAATTATGTCGTAGCAGTGTTTGCTTCGTTGCGTAAAGAAACGGGGCCTTGGAACCCGGACGCTGGCTTCACGCTGTGCATCTCCATGCCCTGGGAGTCGCCCTTGGGTTGCTCCCTATAGGCACCGAGACGCTGATCGCCAGAGTTGTACCGCTTCTTGAATTGGTAGTAGGTAGGTGGCCGAGGTCGGCAGAGGACAACGATCCAGTTCTTGAGCATGCTGCCTTGGGTGAAGGCCCGGAAGCGCTCCTTCTTGATGAACTTGTGGGAGTTGATGTACTCTCTAGTTGTCTCGCCTCGCGCCATCAGGAAGATGTGGTAGCCCATGAGGGCGGCCGGGTACAGGAAAGAAATAAAACCGTAGATGACCATCGCAAACGGGACGCGGAAGTCGTCAATGGATTGGCCAAAGGAAATGCCGGAAAGGTTCATGTGGATGAGGATTTGGGCCAGAGAGGCCCCCATAAGGTAGAGCGAGAGGAATGTGGCGGATGACACAAAGGCAAAGAAATATCGGTAGTTACGTCGGCCAACGCAGTTGTTGAGCCAGACGCAGTGGTGGTCGTGGGTCTCGATGCAGTTGTCGCAGAGACGGCAGTGATGAGCGCGAGGAGGTCGCCAGATGTTGCACGTTCGGCAGTGCTTGACGGGAACCTCCATGGCTGCTGTGGAGGACTCGGCGGACTTGATGAGAGTCCAGTCGTTTGTCGGAGGGCCTAATCGGAGGGGGTCTTCGGTGGGTTCCAGAGGAGGGAAAACGTGAAGATTACGAGGAAGAATCTGAGGCATGTCAGCAATTTCACTCACTTTTGGAGGGTTGAACTTACACCAGGGTCAGAAACAGACGCATGGAGGAAGGAGGAGATGCAGATGTAGAAGAGGTATGCAAACGTTATGGGTATGGCAGGGCTAATGTTATGCCATATCCATGGTGCAGAGAAGATGAAGAAGAGCACAGCAGGGATGATGATGAACAGTCCCGTGGCGACGTTCACTGGCCGATGCTTGGTGTTCTGGAAACGGCCGCCAAGGCAAAAGACAGTGTTTCCTTCGAAGTATTCGAAGACGTAGCCCAGGTTGGTTTTCGACTTCCTCAAGTTGTTCTTGTCTGCGGGTCTCGACGAGTCCACCGGGTTCAGTCGTGGGGTCGAGGCATTCGACGAAAGCTTCTCGGCGCCCGGCAGGCTTCGGTTGGACTTGTTCTGCTCGCCGTCGCTTCTCCCTGGCAGCAAGAAGCTTGAGCGGAAGGATCGCGGCGACTTGGCAGGGCTCTGGTTGCCTCGGTCCCTGAACCGTCTGTCCACATTCACGCTGAGGTTCCGGCTGTTGCGCTGTTGGCGGTATATGGGGGTGACGCTTTCAGACATGCTGCCTGCTGGGTAATGGCCGTGAGTCGGGCTGGTGTTGGCGGTTATTCTGTCGTAGGTTCCCTGGTCGGTGTATTCGGTTCCTCGGGACGGAGGCGGCCTTCCTTCACCATCGCCGCTGAGTTGCCTCTGAAGGCGGGCAACGGGGTTCGAAACCGGGTTTGAGATAACGCTGTGCCGAGCATTCGGTCCGCCACTGGCCACAGCAGCCGCAGCCGCAGGACTCGGTTCCGCAGGCTCGGCATCCTCCAGAGTTG